CCACAAACTTTGTCCACCAAAATCAACATCCATCTTTCTTTATGTTATAAAAGATATAATCAAATTATCACTTCACACGGTTCAACTACCACAAATAGCCGTGGAAATTGGAATGCATGCATATCCACGTCATAAGCTTACATTTTCTCTCAAGAGAAAAACAGCTGCATTGCAATCTCATCTTATAGTTTGCCAATTACAAGCACTTCTTCTAAAAGTGCTTTTGCCAACTAATCTCCAAGACAGCCAAAATGACTTCATTGAATTCCCTTGCTGCCATTCTTTTCCTACTTGCTACTTTTACCATTTTATCCGAGAGTAGCCGGCCATGGCTAGAAAGGACTTGGGTTTAGGACTCGGAACTGGGGCTGGGTTGGGGTTAGGCTGGCTTAGGTAACAGCAGTGGCTCGGGGGCAGGGTCAGGATCAGGCTCTAGTCTTCTTCAACCAGTTCTGCTTCAAGTTCAGCTTCTTCATCCAGCTCATCAGGGGGTGGTGGTGGTGCAGGGTCAGAAGCTGGTTCATATCCCGGGGGTCCTATGCTGGTTCCAAAGCTGGATCAGAATCAGGGTCAGGTCAAGGCCGTGGTTACGGTCATGGTGAAGGAGGAGGATATGGCAGCGGTGATGGCAACTGAGCCTGTTTAATTAAATCTTAGCCAAAAGTTAATCAATAAAATCCTATCTAATTCACCACATTCTGTTTATAAATAAGTTGATGGTTATATTATTATCTCATTACATCCTGCTACAAGAGCTACATCCTCTATACTTTTCAGTCTTCTTTTCAATGTCAATTAATTTAGAATAGTGGAAATGAGGACATATTATCATTAAAATTGTCAGGACGTCTTGATTTATTGTATGTTTAAAATTACTGGTATAAAATAAGATAAATAATTTTCATACCTTTTTTATTTTTATAAAGAATTTGTCATTTTATTATTTAACTGTTTAAACTGTAAAATAAAAATTATTAGACAAGAGAAAACTCTAAATATTAAAACAATTTTTCTGCTTAAAAGTTAATGTTTTATTGTCTATAACTTTTTAGATGGTAAAATATTTTTTTTGTTTTATAAATAAGTTGAAGGACTAAATGACTAATTACTAAGTCCATAAAGTTACCAATAAAGATGGACCAAACAACATTAGGAATTCTATTCTGCATCAAATTCGGATGAACAACTGCTAATTATAAATAACACTGTGAACTGATTGAATCATTGTTTTTTCCCCTCAATCGCAGTAGGCAGCCCTACTTTGCATCGCTCATGGCTTCCACCAATTCTGTTTTCTGCTCTCTTCTGATTCTTTCCCTCCTCATTCACGGCCAACATGCGTTCCTAACAAAAACGGCAGCAAGAAACCCTCCATTAACAAAGGAAAGAGTTGAGAAGATCAGCAAGGCGCTATCCGATGCAGGTTTCCATATCATGTCTTTGATCCTCAAACACCAGTTGCCCTACCTCATACCATGTTCTAGGAACAATACCATCACCATATTTGTTCCCCAAGATCAATATGTTGGTTTTGGTCCTTCCATTAATCTACTATATCAAGTTGTACCGTCTCTAATTGCCAACGGAGAAGATTTCAAGGTTGAATCTTTCGAAGAAGAATTGTGGAGATCAAAGTATGGAGGAGAGTTTAGACTCTTTAAAGTGCCTACGTGCCATCAAGGACATAAGATCTGGGCCACCCGTTACTCCGATGGTTACAGAATCAACCTATCAAAGGTCACACATTGGGGAATCTATAACGACGGACATGTAATCATTCATGGAGTTGTGCATTTCTTTTCTTTGGATAAGGAGAAGCCTTTTCATGGTTTCCCATTTTCGGGACTTCTTTAACATACAGGACTAGAGGAAGGAATCATCTCTGTGTATGTGTTTGTTTGTTTTCGTTTTTGTTTTTGATTTTTTTTTTTTTTTGGTGTAATTAAGGACTTTTGTCATATAGATAGAAAATCCATTACATACATAATAATCAAGTATAGCACCGAACTCAAGAAAATATTGAGAAAACCTGTCATCTGCCCATTCAAATATTGATATTTTCAATGGAAAGCGGAAACACAATTTCAGAACCACTACTCTCTCACTACAGAATAGACTAGTTTTAATTTCCAGGTTTAATATTTGTTTGGGTTTAAATTTTTGGGTAATATTTAAGAAAATTAATTTTTTTTTAATATACTAAATCAATGTGAAGCCGTAAAGATATATTTTTAGGATCGTGCAAGTAAAAATTAATTTTAGAATGTGTAAAATTTAACTCCAAAAACAACAGTCCAAGCCAAAAAAAAGAAAAAAGAAAAAAAAAAAGAAGACTATTTTTTTTTAGATAGAGGAAGCCGTAAAAGCCAGCCAAGCCACATAATTTGCCACTATGGTACTGAGTGGGGATTCATTGGGTCGGCACCTTCTCCATGATAACGTGTCCGAATCTTCGAGTCTCCAGACTCCAAAGCAAACATAAAATCATATGCATTTTGCCTCCCCACTTCATTATTGGGTGTAGTGGACACGCTTACTACTTTATTGAGCACTAAACCATCTTTACGAAATCCTCACACCTCTACTGCTATAAATACCCCAATTGCACCATCGTTCTTCAAGTGCTCCCTCTGCCTCTTGAAGCTTCGTTTGAGCATTTTTGAGCATTTTTGGGCATTGGCTAGGTTGGTTAATTTCGTGCTAGCTAGAAATGGCTACTTGGAAGTGCTTAGCACTTGTTGCTTTGCTTGTCTCCACATGTATGGTTGCGTCTGAAAGCAGGGTGGCAAGGAAGGACCTTGGTTTAGACCTGGGAGGTGTGGGGGTTGGGCTAGGTGTTGGGGTTGGAGTTGGGCTTGGTGGGAGTGGGTCAGGCTCTGGTGCAGGAGCTGGTTCGGGTTCTGGGTCCAGCTCCAGTTCAAGTTCTAGTTCATCTTCATCAAGTTCAAGTAATGGAGGTGGCGGAGCAGGGTCAGAAGCAGGGTCCTATGCTGGGTCCACGGCTGGATCAGGCTCTAACTCCGGTGGAGGTTCTGGATACGGTGGAGGCCAAGGTTCTGGTTATGGCGGTGGGAGAGGAAATTAGAAAAATTAATCACCCCTTCATAAGTTACTTATGTCTGAAGTTTGCAAGGTTGTTAGTCCTACTAATATGAATAAATAAGCGGATGATCATGGTAAAACCGTTTGTTTGTGAAATGATCTTCCTTGGTTAGTGTTTGATGTATCTTAATTTGTTCTTGGTTGTTTTGCGCTTTTATAATAAAATCATCCCTTCATCTTTCTTGCTCTGTAAATTCTCTGTCAAAAGGGAAAAAAATATATCATGTTATTAGCACGTACGATGCTCTAACCAACTGAGTTAATAGGTCACTTGCCTATTAAAAAACAGCTTTTATTGAAGAAAAAAAAAATTGCTTCTCAAGTCGTTTACTCCAGAACTTCATGAGCAAATAAATAACTAAGCCTGACATGTGGGGATTGTTTTCTCCTAAAGCCCCATGCTGGTTTTAAGTATGGAAGACTGACATTACTCATTGTCAGATAAAAAGAAAAAGAAAAAAAGTCTTATAAATTTCAAGTAAATTACTAAATTTTCCGTTAGAAGAAAAACTTCAATTAAGGTATCATTTAGGATTGTTTTCTCATACAGCCCCACAAATGGTTTTAAGTATCTTTGTGCATGGTGAATTTTCAAGTAACAGAAAACCATAAAAGCTTTCAAAACAAAATAGAAAACTATTATTACGTTTAAGAAAACAAAAATGTTTTTTACAATTTGTCCAGCATTAAAAAATATTGTTCGGGATTAAAAAAATAAAAATATACTTAATAATTTAAAGATATATAAAAATTCATTAATGATGATTTTGTTTTTTCCCATCCAAACTAAAGTTTTTAAGCGAAGTCTACCATGAAAAAACCATTCTCTTAAGAAATTTTCCTTTTTGCTATATTCTCTTAAGAAAATTAATACTAAAAAAATTAACAATAATGTTATAATTATAACAAAATATGATATAATATTAAATAAATAAATATATATATAATATTATAAATAAATCTTAAAATAAAAAAATTAATTATGTAATAATATATTATAA